TGTAAATAAACATGCACATACTGTACGCCATTTAAATGAGTAACAACTTACTGTATTTTATGTTTTTGGGAGTTGGAAAGAAAAAAAATCAAATTAATCGTTTTACTATTATTCTAAAATATATTTATTCAAAGAAGTCAACTGCTCGTTTTAATAACTTCCAACTATAGATGGCAATATAGCCTAAATAAATAACATCACATCCCCCTTTCTCTGAAATTTGTTCAACAGCGATAATGGAAATTATAAAAGCATTGTTACTTAACTACTTCTGCTTTTTTCTGAGGACAGTAATTGAAATACATATTAACTTTAGAATCAATATTTTTCTTTCCATAAAAACAGAGCAATTAAAACTAACATTTAAAATTCTGTTTCTAAACTAAATCTAAAGATCCAATCATTCTGTTGGTTTGATGAGCCTCCCACTTCTTGTATATTTTGGTTGGTTATGACCTTGGTGTGGTCAAGAACTATCTGGAGATGGGGCTTCATCATAAGAAAGGGAATCAAACCGATTATTATGACCTTCCACTGAGGGCAAGGTTGAACCATCCTCTGGATGCTGATCCGATCGTCTTCTGTGGTGTATTCGGTTTCTTCTCAGCACTCCTGTCGAAGTTTTAATCTTATATGGCATTGTAGACACCCTTCGTTTAACATACTGCACTTCATTCTGTGGGATGCTTAATCCAAACCTTATCACTTTGTCTCATCTGAGACAGGTCTTTTGTTGTATGTTTCTCATCAAAGTTCCTCTTTATATTCTGCTTCTGCATTTCATTTGCTGCAATTTGCTCTTAGTTTTCACCATTCTGGGACTACTGGATCAGTCTCCTACATGTACCCATTATCATTTCTGCTAGACTAAATCTTGTAAAGCATTTGTTCCATAAAATACCATGATGACTGTAGATCTAAAAAACATTTGCTTGCATGCTACAATTCCATAATAATAATAATATGTCGTTCTTATGTAGCGCTTCATGCCTTTACAAGGCCTCTAAGCACTTCACATTACTACCCCGGTCATTGGATCAAACACATATGAAACACATTGAACACCAAATTAAATTAGTAAATAAAATTATATTATCATTCCATAATATTGCAGCTAGTAATCAGCGCAGGTTGTGTTGGAACCTACTAGGTACCCACTTGTACTCCTGGGTGGAGAGAGGCAACCTTAGATCAAGTGCCTTGCCCAAGGACACACGTGATTTGCACAGCCAGAGTTCCGAACCCCCGACCTCAAGGTTGGGAGTCCAAGCCACAACCGGTGCGCCAACCGCTCCATAACTTCACATGTTACCTTTTTTGTGGCAAGAGATTAGTAATCAGAATCAGGATGAATAAAATTTAACTAAACAAATTAAATATTATAGATAATAAAAATCATTGCAAGATTACATGCTTTGCTTGATAGAGCTAATGAAGCAGTACCATGATATATGTCCTAAATATTCTGTTATTTATTTTCAAGGTGTTCTCAACTATCCACAGGCCTATAAACATTGCACCTTTGAGACCAGAAACGACAAAAGTGGCGTACGACGGAGAACCAGACATGGGTGGGGAAGATGTGTCTCCCATTAAGGTGAAAGCTGCATATAATGGGTATGTCAAATGTGCTAGCTATAGCACAACTTGTTATTAATTTCATTCTACTATAAAGCACATCTTAAGTTATTTTTGACGCTGTGGCCATGAGATTCGTATAGCCAGGCCTTGTCCTTTCTGGTTTTGAACAGTTTATTTTACAAGTCATGCAAAAAAGTAAAAGAATTTGTTTTATTACATTCAAGCAAGAAATAAACTTGAACAAGCTCACCTACTCACATTTGTTTTAGTCTTGAATGAAGAGATGAATTTAAGGAAATAATAGATTCACTGGTAGGGGTGTACATAAAAATGGGTCAGAGGGCCAAAGGGAATTTTTAATTTAGCACTGAGGTCCGCACCCAAACTGATTTTTTATCGCACTTCCAAAAACCTTGATGGACTGCTTTTATACCGCTTTTTTAAATTACGGTACTTTTAAGAGATGATCAGTGCCATTAAAAACAAGGGGTTTTCTAGCCGAAGATAGTCAGCGAACTGCCCACATAATCACTATCCGGCTGCATGTGGGCTGCACCTGTGTTCTATGGGAACAAAGATGATTAAAGAAAATAAAATATTTCTCAAGAGGAACAATTGGATGCCTAGCCAAGGTAGGTTAGCTATGTAACAACCACACAAATCTAGGCTTAGGTTAGCTAGTATAGGTGATTCACAGTAGGCTAAGGTGATAAACCATGCTAGAAGAAGTTATTTTACTTTTTTTAGGTTAGATTTTAGATCCATTCAAAAATTGTCTTCACATCTACAGTATGGCCCTAATGGTTTTATGCATTATTTCACTTCCATGCAATAGTTTCTGTCTGGACACACAGCAAGTTTAACTGAATTAATGTTGGCACTCCCCTCATGGACCCCATAACAATAGACAAAATAACACCCAAAAACCTTGTTCTCAGACAATAGTGCCCCACTCAGCCACTCACCAAACCTTAATTGTCACTTGCACCTTCGGCAAAAAAAATCCTTCTGCCCTTGGTAATTGTGGCGGTTGAGAGGTAATAATTATTTGTATTTATAATGCAGTGTCTTCGCTTGGTGATATGTTTTGGTAGGTGTAAGTATAAAATGCCACTTCAGACATCCAACATGCTAAAAATTTAAATTTCTTCAACCAACTATAGTGGAGCTTAGATAGGTGAGGAAGGGAAATATCGTAAATTTGTGGCAGATTGGTTATTTTCTGGGTGATTGTTGCTTGCTCATGGGAGTGTGAAGGACGTCCCAATTTCTGGGAGACTCCTGAGACTTTAGGGAGACTTGGGACCACTGAGCTAAAAGATGTAGAGGCTAGCTACTATAAGCTTATTAAGCTATTAAAGTGAGTGAATTCTAATCTGAAGGTGGGTTAAGTCAGCACGCAAACCCCATTCAGGAAATAGTGCATTTGACCTCCAGATGGTCGCCCTGGGAATTTAAGGGTATCGCTTATTCCTCCATATGAATAGGAAATGGCTTTTGACGCTCAAGTGTCTGGATGCTTAAGATGAGAATCATAATTGTACATGTGGCAGACGTTTCCCAGGATAAATGTCTGGTATAAATTGATTGCTGAGGATAAAATTTTGATGATACAAATAACACTTTGACTTAATATAGATTTACATATTCATTCATTTTTTTAATTATGGCATTTGCTATTCACTTCAACATAAAAAGTAAATATTTTAGAAATATATAAGATCTTTTTAATGAATCCAACCAATATTCATGTTGACTTATATTGGCTGCAATACTTAATCATTGTACAATTCCAGTTTTTTTGTGTGGTATAATATAGATTATGAAGGGAGACCTCAACCGACGTGGACCGTAGTTCACTACTGTATGTCTCTCATTTTCAATAGCCCCCTCTATACAGTAGCTTAATAATAATAATAATATAAGCTTTATTTAAAACACTGAAAACTTGGCTCAGCTAACAGTTGTTATTCTGCAAGGCCGTGTATTCAACAATTTAAGTAACCAGAAAATCAAAAGAAAAAATAAATGACTAGGCCTAATCAAACAATTGTTTAAACACACAAATATCTTAACTAGACTTAAATCTTAAACTAACTTAATTACACATAACAAACTCAAACAAAACAAAAATACTGTAGTTTATGTTAGAAACTACCATAAAGGTGTTAACAATTTAGTGTTATTACAATGTCGCAATTATATACTTTTTAAATAAGGACAATTTCTTAACATTTTTAACATCATCGCTAATTTCATTCAGAAGTTTGGCTTGACTTGAGTATTGTGAATGAATCTTGTTGAGTAGGCATATAATTAACAAAGATAATAAAATATGTCATTTACAGACATGATTTAAATTTTGTTATTGTAAATCAGTCATTAGATGTTTTCATTTTGATGCTAATTACTGTTGTTTGAGTTTTGCTCTCACTTTTGTATTTAAATTACCATGTCAGTTACTCCATGAGGTAAATGCAGTAGAATATATTATAATAATAACATCTAACAAAACAAAATATATGCCATAAACTCAGTTAATTTACTATATTTTGAGTTTTGTTTTCAAAATGTTAGATTTGCTGTAATATATTTTAATATACTAGTATAGTTAATAATTTAACAACAAAAAAGAAATTACATGCTATTGAAAACATAATGAAATCATTTAAATTCATTGAAAGCAAAATACAAAAAAGAAATTTAATTCTAATTATTGAAGGCAATGAAATCATATTGAAATATAAATAAATCCGACAAAAAGAAAATACACTATCTGTAACAAAAACATTCATGAATTCATATTTCAGAAGAAGAAATTAAAATGAATTCTTTCGAGAAACTTCTTGTGCTAGATGAATATGATTTATGGTTGAAGAGTGTGCATTGATTTGAGTTAAGGTGCTTAAAGATGCAAAGACAATTTAAACACAATTATTAATGAGAATTCTTCATCATTAATTCTTGTCTAATTGGCATGATTATAACAACAATAAGTAAAATTGAATAACTGGAAAATCAACAACCCTAATAATTCTGTAGACTTGATTAGAATAAGATTTTTGTTTTTTTAGCAAATGCATAGTGGTAACTTTCTATGAATATTTGTCAGTATTTTGTGTGCTTAATAATGTATGAAATATTTATGACAAAGCAAATGCATGAAGTGAAGATTACTGCTGGGTATCGTTGCTCAATATTTCCATATGGTGTCTGCTTTTTCTGATTTGTCATCAACAACCATAATAATTCCATATTGAACATAAAAGTCTTGTACAAGTTCATCTTCCCCCTCTATTTCCCCATGCAAATGTAGTATAATACAAAGTATATTTAATTTTTTTAATATTATTTTAATATGAATTTTTGCCCTGAATTTTTTAAATCTTAAATTGAAGTGTATGTTTTTTTGTTGTTTTTTTTATTTTATGAAAGTTCAGTACAAAACCTGGGGAGGCAAGATAGCCACATAGTCGATTGACTAGTGGCTAATAATTAGCCTCCCCTTAAATAAGCTTAATCTACAGACCAACAACACCAACAAAAAAAAACAAAAAAGAAACATGAATAAGACATGATTAGTTTTTAAGGTGTTCAATTAAATTTTGTTTAACAGTGGATATAGATTTTGAGTCTACCACTGATTGTGGTAGACTGTTCCATAGTAAAATAACGGATGGATAAAATGATGATTTGAAAGACAGAGTGCGTCCAAAGGGAACAACAAAGCAATGAGTATGATTTAAACGAGTTGATCACCATCTGGGATTAACTACTGTAAGCTACCAGGAGGGATATGCAGTAATGAATTAACATAACAAAACGAAAAAGTTAACAATTTTAAGTGGGAAAGATGATCTTTTAACGATAATAAATTAGACTTCAAACAAAGAGAAGCATATGATTCTTTCCAAGATTTACATATAATTTTCTAAGCAAATTTTTGAACACGTTCAAGTCTGTAAATAATATTGTATGCTGAATGTGTCACAAAGGGCGACAATATGCATCTATTATTCCTTGAGCTATGATGTCATGATACAGAATGTAGTCTACTTATTCAAGGTTTTATGGTATTGATACATTAATGCTATATCTTGCAGGCCTATGATGTCATCATTTTGTGTGTACTCTGTCCAAGGTTTCATGGTATTGATATAGGCTATGTTCTCACACGGCAGCTAACGGTTAGCAGGATCCGGATCCTGCTAACCATTAGCTGCTGTGCGTCCATACAAGAAAATCCCAATCAGGATACCAACAATATGATTATCGAATCACTGGCCAATAAGAAACTGGAAATTGTAAACGCATACGTGTGATTGGTTGATGATAGAAACGCCCTCAACTTGCTAACCGCTAGCGCTTGCTAACCGTTAGAGTATCCGGATACCGCTAACGGTTAGCGCCAACCGATCGGGCGCTCTTGTGCAGGTGCTAACGGTTAGCTCCCGATCCGGATACTAGGGCTCTCATGAGAACCAGGCTATAGTAATGCTATTTCATGCAGGCCTGTGATGTCATCATTTTGTGTGTACTCTGTCCAAGGTTTCATGGTATTGATACAGTAATGCTGTTTTATGCAGGCCTGTGATATCATCATTTTGTGTGTACTCTGTCCAAGGTTTCATGGTATTGATACAGTAATGCTGTTTTATGCAGGCCTGTGATATAATTTTGTATACTCTGTCCAAGGTTTCATGGTATTGATACAGTATTGATTTTGTGTGTAAGCCTACCTTGTCTGACAACTTTGTGGTATTGATATACAATAAAACCTAGAATTGAAGCCCTGGGCTCTTTTTTTTTTTTTTTTTTTTTTTTTTTTCTAAATTTTGAATGGGCTTCTTTTCAAGATGGGCTTCTTTTGAGGCTACATTTGCAAAATAAAGGAGGAAGGGACTTCTTCTCGAATAGAAGCCCATTAGGCTTCTATTCGAGGTTTCACTATATTAACTGTATCTTGGCCTATGATGTCATCATTTTGTGTGTACTCTGTCTGCTTTCTACATTATTGGATGCCTTTAAACCTGCTT